TTGTCCGCTGGAGTACCTGATGCGAGCTGATGTATAGCATTTATGTAAATTAGTGGGGGGAGGGAGGGAGAGAGAGGTTTAATAGAACATATGAATTCGGCTCAAATGATTCTCATTAGACATAGAGAGTGGGAAAGAGGAAGAGATCCCATATTCTCAGAAACCAGGCCTACATTATATTTATTACACTTTGTATACATACATATATTATATGGGATCGACTCAACTCCTTCTATCTCTCTTATTATCCTTCTCTCTCTCTCTTTATATAACTTACTGAAGTATTTAGTTGATCAGGAATCTTAGATCCTCGATTTTCGTTGCCATATTATTATTATATTATGAATTACACTTCACTTACAATTATATTTTTACTGATTTTTTTTTTTTTTTTGGCGCTGAATGCTTTTTCGGAATATATAAGAATCTATAGATATCATTCTGCCTAACCTTACAGAAACCGATTTATTGATTTCGATAAATCTCAAACTGCTTCCCACTGTCAATTTTAATGATATAGTAAGGTCCCAGCACTTGTTTATAAGACTTTACCTCTCAGTGTAGTAACGATAATAATAATGGTTCTAATGATAGTAATAATGTTTTTTATACGCGAGGTGGTTTTCTAGAGACTAGAGCAGCTTATGCAGACCTTACGCTCTGCATATGGTGACTTCTTGCTCAGTGAGTTGAGATCTCGGAACTCAATCAGCTGATTCCTTGATCTAGCATAATGGACTTCTAGAACGAACGCAACGACTACATCCATACTATTATTATTATTATAATTTTCATTAATGTCATCACATCAGAATAAATTGTGAATCACTCTAAGATTAATACATAAAGGAATCACTTGCCATAATTTTCATTTTATTTCTATTTATTCATATAATAATTAATTAATTATTGTATTAAAATCACTTGTACTGCTTAATATATGATATATCTCTATATGGATATTATATTGTCAGCTTATCATAGTATTAGATCGATATGAGTTGATATGATGTTGCTATGATATTCTTTAGGTTCAGTATTTATTTATTTTAATAGCAAATCTCAGCTGAGGCAGCTCAGGAGATCCTCTGATATCTGCGATAACAGGCCAGCTCCACGCTCCAGGCCTCTGGCAGCTGCAGTGGCCTGGCCAGCTGCTTGACTGAGCATCTTCTCCAGCTCCTGCTGCCGCTGCTGCTGCTGCTGCTGCTGCTCCGACGGCAAAGCTGTTGCCAGAGTGCGCGCCCGTTCCACGTCATCGCTGCCCGGTGCTGGCCGTGACTCCCCCTCGTGGCGGTTGTGGTTTGTGTGTGGCGCCAATGGCGCTGCCTGGGCTTTTATAGCTGCCGCCAAGCGGCGAGCGCAGCTTTCAGTCTGCGCCAGAGCTTTCCCCCTACTCCCCACACCAGCGTGCGTGTTGAGTTTCGCTCGGCCTGTGTTGAGTTTCTAGGTGGCAACAATTGTAGCTGCCTAATTGGGTGTGCGCGAGTATATATGTAGATGTGAGAGGTTAGGTAAACAGTTATCTACACACACACACACACACAGGCATACATATGCAGACTATGTGTGTGTGTGTGTGACCTTATCAGTGTATACGCTATAGGAGGAGCTACAATTGAATTTTGCAATGGCTGCGCGAACTTTTCCCTCGGCTCACAAATGAATTTTAAATACTGAAACTCGAAAATTCGTGCAGAATTTGTCTGGAATATCTCTATAAATCCTTTGCCTGCACCGTAAGTGATTAAGGCCATTAACGAAATTATCAGGGATTATAAAGATTTGTACACAATTTGATGCGCTGCCACGTTGACTACGCAGCCCACATCCACTCCCCTCGCTCTCTGTTCCTCCTCCAGCTTTGCACCCTTTCAGTCGACGCCCACTGCGCGGCAGAGACAATGCAATTTACCGTAATCCAGGAGCTTCAATTAATGGAGTGTCGACGTCGTCGCCAGCTAGCAAAAAGGGGTTGCTCAGCAACCTACCCCGACCACGAGCCCTGCGCTAAAAAACCGTATAGTTGGTAACACAATGAAATGCATTAGACAGCGCCGAGCCAAGATTGTATCGAAGATGAGGGGGTAACTCCTTGCCCTTCAAGGGTTGCCCCGGCTCATTAAGAATCATTTTTTTATCCTTGTCTGAATGCCAAATATTCTTTGCCTGACGACAGTTTCTTGACGTCAATCAAGAGTAGTTTGTGCCCAGTTTGGCTGACTGTCGGCACTTATTGTGAGAAATGTGAGAGAATTCCATTTGGTCAGAGTTTGAGAAAATTTATAAAAATGCCAAGACTAAATGGCGTTAACGGACATCATTTATCAGCGTATAAGGCATAAAAGTGCATGTCAAAGTTCATGTCAGCAGGCAACAAGTACTTTAGCACTAAGAAAAGCTCATTATTTCTCATTTATCTGGTTAAAAGGTAAAGAAAAATATATTCAACTTCAAGTTGACTAAAATACTTATGCCTAGTACTACATTGTAAACTGGAAAATCGTTGAGCTGGAACTGAAGCAAGCTCTGCTTTGGCATTACTGGGCCTGTCAAGTTGAGGTACCGAAGCTAGCATAATATATGAGTATATCACACTGACATCATCGCACAGGAAAAACAATTATAAACATTAAATATAGCATCAATATTTTTACTAACCAAAACAAAAAGAAAAAAAAAAAAAAAGATTTCTAGTAGGTGTGAGGCGATATCGTAACTTTCTGCAAAAATGGAGGAAAATACAGAGGCTCCGGTCGAAACTACCGAAGAACCGGATTCTGAAATGAGACGCGGTACACCGAGCGAAATTGCCATCACCTTCGCATCGGAGGAAACAACCCAGGCTATAGAGGGCGAGGCGTCGAAGGTTGACGGAGAACAGACCATGGAAGTGGATGTCGACGAGGATGAACTGGACGATGAGGCTCGCGCCAGACTCGAGAAGAAGAAAAGGGAGAAGAAGCGCGAAATGAAGCGTCAGGCGAATCTCGTCTTGAAGAGCCACTTCCAAGAGATGGCTGACGAAAATGCCCAGCCGGTTGAGAAATCTGCGCCGCCACGAAGCTCGACCGAGCTGGATGCAATGGGAGAGTCCAAAAGCTCAGTGGATGGCGAAGGCGGTGCAGGGGAGGGCGACGACGTTGACGATGCTGACGATGCGACTGATGCTACTGATGCTGCTGATGTGGCTGATGTGGCTGACGTAGGCGACTCTGATGCTGTGGTCGAAATTGATGATGACGAGAAGGAGGAAAAGTCGCCGGTGGAGTCGTCTTCAGACGAAGATGATTACTCGCGTCGAGCCTGTCCGGCGTCCTTTAAGGGGGATTTCTTTCAAAACTTTTACTTTCCCAGTCTGTCGGATATAACGACCGATTCCGAGGCAGAAGAAGCTGAAGAAGCTGCTCAAGCCCCTGCGGAAGTAAAAGAGCCAGAGAAGGAAAGCCCAACTGTGACGGACACAGGCAAAACCGTGGATCCCTTGGGCGGGGAACCACGTCCGTCTGAGAAGGAGGAGGAACCTGCGGCCGAAGAGCAGCAGGCGCAGCCTCAGTCTGAGGAGGAGAGCGAAGAGTCCTCCTCGTCAAGCATCTCGTTCGATTGGCCCTTTCCCCTAGAGGACGAAGCGCCGCCCCCTCCGGTCATAGACGCTACGGACTACGCCATGGAAATGCTCATCGAAATGGATACAACACTGAAAGTGGTTCCAGCCGCATCGGACACCGAGCTGGAGCACCTGCGCATCGAGCGCGCCAATCGACAAGTCTGCGCCGAGGTGCTGTTTCGGCTCATCGACGATGCCGTCGAGGCGGCCGAGTATGTCGATCCCTTGAAGATCCTCAAGAACAAGCTCGACAAGCACAAGCTGCTCGCAGAGATACACCGCTTGCTGTCCGAGTGCATGGGCGCCAAGCAATACAACAGCGACATAACCAACAAAATGTTCGATTACTATCGACGCGTCGGCCAGCTGAGGTGCTTTGATCCCCTGCCCGCCTCGCAGGAGCGAAAGGAGTACTTGCGACACAGAGAGGCTCTGACTGTACTGGACCACCTGAAGAAGAAGGCAGCCGACACGAAGAGAAAGTACGTTGTGCACATGGCCAGCGTCACAATGGATCTCAACTATGTGCGCAAGATCGCGCTGACCTCCGTCGACTCGCTGGAGAACTGCGTGCGTACGACTCTCCTGCGCAAGGACTTCGAGGTGATGCCCCGCATCGTCGAGTACGAGCTGCGACGCATGCAAAACCTACGCAACGAGGTCAGCGACAGCCGACTCTGGCTGATCACCAGGCAGCATACACTGGGCAGGCTTATCGAGGTGAGTCTACAGCTAAGGTTGCAGTTGATTCCAGTTCCTTGTGGTATTGTCTTGTCTTATATTCTATCTGAACATCTACAGTATCATATATTTTACCTTATTTAAACTTATGTCTGATTATCATCTTCTCTCTGATCTTATATCCGATCATCTGTCTGCTCTTCTGTTAGTTGATCTTCAATCTGACTCCAGATGGACTATTAATCTCATCAATCAATTACTCTATTTGATCAGGCAGAAGCTCTGACCTACTCTCTGCTATTTTTCTAGGTAATCAGTTTGATCTTCGCTGATCTTTCAACTCTTCTTCCCTCAGCGCAAACGTCAATTCGATCAGATCACGCCAGAGTTGACCATGGATCAGTTCTTGAATGCTCAACGTGATGTCACAGCGTTGGGCACAAAAGTTGAAGGTATTTCAAAGCTCTCTCTCTCCCTCTCTCTATCTATATCTAAATGTGTTTCTAATAGAACGGAATTACGAGTTGAATCGAATGCGCGATCGCTGCACCAAGCACGTGCATCAGCTGGCCTTCATTCGTGAGAAGACGAGCATGATTTCAGCCACGCTATTGAATCACAGGGAAGATCTGGACGAAAAGTTGGAGAGGCAGAGTGAGCTGCGCGACCAGTTGCTCGCGCTGAAGATCGAGCACTCGCGCCTCAAGGATCAGAAGGCGCAGCTGCAGGAGAAGAGCGGACTGCTCTATAGGACTGCACTGCTACACGATTTCGACAAGACCGTCGAGCACGTAGACGAGAAGCGAATTTATGTCTCGAAACTACGCGATATGGTACGAGACTTGGAGTCGAACATCGCCATATTCGAGGACGAGGGTCATCGATCCTCCTACCTATTGTCGTCCATGAAGAAAATCAAAAAAAACGAATTGAAGAGAAAACTCTAATACAATTTTATACACTTCTACTACACTTGTACAGATTATATAATCAATTAACTATAAACTGCATGCCTTTTACTTCTGCCCGCTCCCACCCACAGCCTGAGCTCCCTATGGCAACCAGAGTTGCCTTCATTTCTGACTTCTTCCTTTCTTTTTGGTTGTTGGCCAGGACTTCATGACGCTAAATTAACTGCCAGACATTTCTATTAGCTGCTCATGAATGCCAGAGCCAATCTACTCTTAATATATGCACGATGCCGTTCGCCCGATAACACTTCAAATATGCCACGGGGGCGGAGCTTCCAACTGGGGGGGTCACGTTGCTGCGACAACCAGCAAAGTTGCCATCCCCCTCCCTCTACCTCTCTCTCTCACTCTTGCTCTGTCGCTCTCCTGCTGTCTCTTTCCGTCTCGCTTATCTTGGCACGTGGGCAAGGATTTTGCGCCTTTGTCTAAATGAATTTAATGAAATGGAAATGTGCAGTCATGAGTCTAGCGCTTTCACTGTAGCCGACTGTACCTGCTGCTAAATATTACGTCAAGAATTTTGATTAAAACTTAAAAAGAGAATATGATATTATAAATTACTGAATTTCTTGTAAAAGATTTATTCGATAGGCCAAGTCTCATTAATCTAGATCAATGCATTATCAATCTAAGACTACTGATTTCTTAACCATCTGTCTATAACTCTACCCGTGCTTATTTCAGTGGCTCTCGATCGAGCATAGAAAGCAACCCCAAGAGCTGTCCTTGATATAAGGCGGAATCTTCAACAAGTAATGTATGTAAATACCTATTATATTATTATTTTCAACATCCTACTTGGGTTCCCTGATTAAGCCGGCTTTAAATCAGTACGGCTCTCTATTAAGTCTTCTGCTATCTGTCGAACATCTCCAGGGTAGCTCCAGGGTACTTCCGACACATCTTCTGGGTATCTCTAGGCTATCTCATACCCCTTCACCACATGTCTTACATAACTTTCTATCGAGTTTTTGTTGCATTCGTTCAGGCGCCGGCAAATGCAACAGCTACAAGAATATGTCCTCGCTTTTCAAGCAAACTTCAAGGCACACGCACAGAACAATACACCCACACACACAAACACACACATACACAAAGTACCTTTTCACACATGGGCGCACACGCTGGCATACCCCAGTTGCCCAAAGAGCCCCATGAGGGGTGCTCCCTTTAGCTGTTGTTGTAAATCACGAACTGAAACCGTAACCGAAACCGTTAACGTGTTGCGGTTACGCTGCTGACTTTGCTGTGGCCAGACCAAGAGACAGACGGACAGAGAGAGAGGAAGAGAGAGAGAGAGAGAGATGGAGAGAGCGAGATAAAAGAAGTGATGAAAAAAGTCATTCCATTTGGGCTTTATTAAATGCGCCAGCGGAGCGGGGCACACACACACACACACACACGGAGGCTGTGTGCGAGTGTGTGCATATGTGTATGTGTGTGCGCGTGTGTGCGTGTGTGTTTGGCAGGGCAACGAACGTCCTGTCTCCCAAACTTTTTATTGCGAATTTCATTTTTTATTTCTCACTCTGTATTTATACTCGTTCAGAAAATGATAAGGGTATATTAGTTTTCGAATAGCATGCATACAATGCTGGGTATAATCACTAGAAACTATATACACAAAACATTATCGTGCTATAAATTCTAAAGATATCGCCTTAATCATCTATCGACTTGCCAAAGTATATATAATATGCTACAGATGATACTAGAATTTCCAGAGACAAAGCGACTCTAAGAGTTTTTATTGTATACGATTGGTAAATACTGAACTATAAATATAAAACGCTAGAGATGATACTGGAATTTCGATAGATGACCCAAAACTAGGAGTATTTATTGTATATGTATGTGCCTCTACGAAGTTTTAAAAATAATAAACTCTTGAATATTTTAAATGATTTGCAATAGTCTAATCTCAGAACTTGCCAATAATTATGTATATATAGCCCTCTATTAAGCATGTCAAACCGAAACAAAAAATCAAATTTGGTATTACCTACAAATTGAAGAGTTCAGTTACATCAGACTCCCTCTATGACTTTTAACTCATCTGACTCAACTAATTTCAAAGTCATAGACGAGTATTGTGCAGTCGGTAATGCCCTTCTGGAGTATACCTACTTGGTTTCTCAGTAAATTTTTTTTTTTTTTGGCGAGGTTTATCAAACTTCTTACATTTGTTTTGTTGTAAAATGCGAACGGCAAACTTTGCGATTTAATGATTCGCTTCTGAGTGTCGGCTTAGGCTTTGGCGTGGGCGTGGGCGTGGGCGTGGCAAGTGGGTTAGCTCGGTCTAGGCTATCGCATTACAGCTACAAGACCTATCGAAATTGTTTCAATTCAGCTTTCCTTCTGCTGCTTCTTCTTCTTCCTCTGCTTTTTTTTTCACCAACCCAGATTTGTCAATGCCTTGACACAATGATGCATAACGTTATCTGAGATTTTGAGAGCTGAAAAAGAAGGAATTAATCTTGCTAATGTTTCCGACTTTGGCTTTGGGGTTTGCGGCATTTACGGCGAGTCTCAATCACATAATGCGATTGTTGACTGTTTATTGTTGGCTGTTGATGCTGGACTAGCTTTAATGCTCTTTGGTCTCTATATGTATGTATGTATGTATTTATATCTCCTGCTAATTGCTGCATATTGCTATGGCTACACGCATAATCATATCAGCTTCCACACGATTTAACAGCAACGCAATTGAGTTGCGTTCGCATGGCAACAGCTCCTTCATGTCCTTCATGTCCTTCAACTCCTGCCGAGCTGGCTGAATGCCCCATTGCAACGGCGACGGCGACGGCGACGCGTCTGCAACACTTTTTTGGCTTCGCATTGATTGCTCCACAAATTGCGCAATTGCTGGCTAAAAGCATTGCAAAAGCATTCAACAACTATTGTTACCTTCCATTCCACTCCCTCTCTCTCTCCCTCTCTTTTGCTCTTCCTCTATGTATTCTATTCAGCTGTCCTGCGCTGCTTCCTTTTTGCTGCCATGACACTTAAGCTGCGATAAAAATTCCACTCGATAAGCATTTTGTTTTGCATCGCGGCATGGGCTCCGTTGGCTCTAAGCTGTTGCCAGCAAACAAATTCATGGCCATAATCGTTGTTGAGCAGCATGTGGGCAGAGAGAAACTCTCACTCCTGCAGCTCTGAGGCGCTTCTGAAGCCCCATACATCAAAAGAAAACAAAATAAACTGCAAAAGAAAATCAAGCGAGAAATAAATGCAAAGTAATTTATTGAAACATGCAGAGAATATGCTTTGAATGAGCTAAAAAAAAAAATAAAAATTCTTTCAGTATTTATATTCATTCACAAAGATAACAAGTAAGAAAACTCTACTCGACCCTACTCGTCCACAAGGTCCCCTCGCCCTTCGGGTAACTGATTTTACCAATTAAAATTTCAGGCCCCTAGCTCTTATGTATATCTTCAAGCATACGGACAATCGATTGAGTTCGTCGCGCTGATCAAGAATATATATACTTTATGGGCTCTGCCACGCCTCGTTCTGCCTTTTTCATTCAGATCGTTGAGGCCGTTTGGCATAGACAGATCAAACATTCTGAAGCTATCAATAGCTTAGCATATGGACTTGTCTTTGCTATTGCCGAAAATTAAAAAAAAAATATATATGACTTTTATTAAATAGAATAGTAAAGTAAGGCAAATGTAATAATACAAATGATAAATAATTTTAAAAAATCGTTAACTATATTAAGCAAATAAAACCGAAGAAAAGCAAAATATCTAATCAAATAAGGCAACAAAAATATAAATAAATTAAAAAAAGAAATACATAAATATTTACATACATACATTACATAATTATTAATAATTATTATTTATATACATAAATAAATCTGTAAAAGAAACTCCTGCCAGCGAAATGTTTATCTTTGAAATAGAAGCAATAACTTCATCATTTGCAGCTCTCTGAAATCAAACTCAAATGAGAAGACAATTAATATGTCAATGCTAAAGATTTATTATTATTCCCAATTTCAAACCTTTTGAGTATCCTTTGCCATTTGCTGCCCGCTGTTCTCAGCGCTGTTTGTTATTTTTGCAAATTTCAATGCCATTTGGTTGGCTGGCCAAGCCGAATGAGAGAGAGAGAGAGAGAGAGAGAGAACGGAAAAAAGACTTCATGGGCAGGCAGAGGAGTCAGCCAGTCATAATACTCATTATGAACGGCTTAAGCGATTTCCCCAGGGTCTGCACTAAGCCTCTTCACAGTGATTGAGATGCCCAACCACACACCCACACACATCCACACACACACACACACATATGGGCTTTATTTATGCATATGCATACACACATTTCTATTTATTTGCCGAGTTTTTCCTCTCTCGTTTTTTTTTATGTAAAAGCAATCTGAATGAAATCCGATTTGCAGTCTATATATATGTATATATATATATATATATATATA